ATATTCACTAACTTTAGGTATACCACTTAATGATTTTAGCAAGTTTACAGAGTTGTGAAATCATCACCACAGCCCAATTTTAGCACATTTCCGTGACTCCACACTCCTTTTGCTCATTTGTAGTCACTCCCTGTTAGTTCCTTTAAAAAAAAAAAAATCTCAAGACTACAGCAAAGTGTGAAGACCAACATCATCAACACCCACACACCCACCATCCTAGTCTGTCAGATCTTAACGTTTTACCTTACTTTGCCCAGCATTTTTTCTTCTTAAAATGATAAAATTGAAGGTCTCTGCACTCCTCTTCCAGGACTGCGCTCCCCTGTGCCCTCAGAGGTGACCACGGTCCTGAACTTAGGATTCATGGGCATATGGGTGTCTCCAGCATCATGCGGGCTACGTGGTCACACCATACAACCTTCTGCAACTCATGCGTTAGAGAACCTCAGGGTCAAGGTTTTGAGATGTGTCCTGCGGATACACACAGCTCCAGAAAAATACTTAAATTCCCGCACATTATCCCACCGTACGAACATCCCATGCTGTGTCTACTGATCCTACGTTAGGTTTGCTGCCAGTGTCTCAGAACGCTGGGTTTTTTTCTTCAATGTCACCCTTTGGTTAACATCTGATTTTCTTATACTGTGCCCATGAATTTGCCTCCTTGTGACCTTTGTGCTTTAGAGCATGTCGAGATGTCCTTTGTGGCTTAATACATGATCTGTGCGTCAGTTACAGAGGCCTTAACCCTCAAAGTGTTCACAAGCCTCCTCTGCATCTGTTTCATCTGTTCATTTCTGAGAGAAGGACATTAAAGACGTTTGCTGCGTTTGCATCTGGGTCCCTTGGCTTACGTGTTTGTCAGTTTCTGTTCTATGTGTTTTGCAGCTATTTTTTTCCTTTTTTTAAAAGATTTTATTTATTTATTTGACAGGCAGAGATCACAAGTAGGCAGAGAGGCAGGCAGAGAGGGAGGGGGAAGCGGGCTCCCCGCTGAGCAGAGAGCCTGATGCAGGGGCTCGATCCCAGGACCCTGAGATCATGACCCGAGCCGAGGGCAGAGGCTTAACCCACTGAGCCCCACAGGAGCCCCTACAACTATTGTTTCTTTGTGGATGATAAATTCCATGACCTCCATCATTCCTTAAGCATTTAATACTTTTTGCCTTCAATTATACCTTTTTTTTTTTTTTTTGAGAGAGAGAGAGGAGGGGGTGGGCAGAGGGAGAGAATCTTAAGCAGGCTCCACGGCCAGTGCAGAGCTCAATCCCAGGACCCTGAGATCATGACCTGAGCTGAAATCAAGAGTTGGAGGCTTCACCAACGGAGCCTCCCCAGGTGCCCCCTGAGTTATACCTTTTGATATCATTTCTACCTAATTGTTAGTATTCCCTGGCACGTGATTGTCTATCATCCAGTCCTTTATTTTTTACCTTCAGTGTCTGATTTAAGTTTATCTGATAGACAGAATTTTTTGCACTTTTTCCTTTTTAACTGTGGTAAAAAAACTAAAACAAAAACATAACATAGGGATGCCTGGGTGGCTCAGTCAGTGAAGCATCTGCCTTTGGCTCAGGTCACGATCCCAGGGTCTTAGGATGGAGTCCCGCATCGGGCTCTCTGCTCAGCTCAGGATCTGCTTCTCTCTACCTCTCCTCCTTGCTCATGCTCTCTCTCTCTCAAATAAACAAATAAACAATTAAAAAATCTTAAGAAAAAAACACAAAACATAAATTTAACCATGTATCCCACCATCTTTCCCATTTCTGAGTGTGCAGTTCAGATGTTCTGTCCACATTGTGTGCAAACAATTCTCCAGAACTTTCTCATCTTGCAAAACTGAAAGTATCCTCTTTCAGCAAATTTATACTTCTTTTTAAAGTTAAAAAAAATTTTACTCCAGAAAATTTACAGTTGTGAAAGTTGTCAGAACAGTTTCATGAATCCATATGCCCTCAACATTTGCTTCCACAATCTTCAACTTGGCCAGTCTTGTTTTCTTTATAGCCTTACCCACTGCTGGTGCAAAATGAAAAAAACTTTTTAAACATTTTAAAGAGAAAGGAGGAGAGTTTTACTGGAGCGTGTGCAAGGACAGCTGCCCAGGTCGACAGTGCTCACGGGATGACAGGGCTCACGGGATGACCGCACTCAGGGACAAGCATTGGTGCGGAGTTATGTGTGTTTTTACACAGAGCTCCCCATCACCACGACGAAGTGCATTCCAGAAAACAATAGACTGTCTCATCTTTAACCCACTCCTAGGTGCCATGATTCCTGAAATTCAGGAATATTCTAGAACATTCTTAGTGTATGTGATGCTATATGACTTTAATCTTATAGGAGTCAGGGAGGGGTTTTTTTTCTTCTTTTTATGCTTGGAATGCTCCTTTTTGATTATTTTTTCAATGAAGTAGATCTATGGTATGTGCTCGGGGCAGAATCGGAGCAGAAGTACAGCCCATGCTTCGAGGTTTTGCTGAATCATTTTGACCTTGGGTAAATGTCCAGCTATAGCTTCCCAGGGGGCCCAGGAGCAGGGCCTACGTGTATGGAAAGGCGAACATCTCCTTAATTTTCCCACCCTCCCTCTGTCACCCCTCCCCCCACTCATTATCTGGCAGCAAATCTAGAACATGGCACCGCGTCCTCCGCAAATACTTCAGTGTGTAACTCTTAAAGCTGACAACTCTTGAGTATAATCACAAAATCTATCACATCTAAGAAAATTAACAGCACTTTTCTTTGAAGATTTATGTACTTACTTGAGAGAGATCGAGCGGGCACAGGGGGAGGAGAGGCAGAGGGAGAGAGAATCGCAGGCAGACTCTGTGCTGAGTGCAGAGCCCAGTGCGGGGCCCAACCCCAGGACCCCGAGCTCATGACCTGAGCTGAAATCAAGCGTCGCATCCTTAACCGATGGAGCCTGTTGGGGGCCCCAACCATAGTTTCTTAATATCACCCCCTCCATACATTGCGATTGGTTGATTTTCTCTTAAATCTCTTAACGCGTGGGTTCCTGAGCCGGGTCTCCTTCCCCCACTCTTCTCCCTTGCACTTTGTGGTTTGTCTCGTGGGGTTTTGCGGGTTGAATCCCTGTGGTGTCATTTAACACATGCCTCTGTCCCCTGTTCTTCCTGTAACCCCGTAGTAGATCTAAAGTCTTGGTCCGAGTTCAGTGCAGAAGTGACAATCGTGATGTCTATTTTATTAGTGTCTAAATTTGTACTGCCCTTTCACCCAGATTGCGCCACAAAGGCACGTGCACAGTGCGTAGTATCCGTCTCTGTGGTGTGGTGGCCAGTGACAGTCACTGCTTTATCTAGTGAGGCCGCACCGTGTGTGGTGTGGGGACATTCTCAGTCTGTGCTTCTTTGTTATTCTCTCATCATTCTGTACCGTCCGGATTCCCTTGATAGAGAGCGTGTAGTTGGAACTGATCTGTCTCTTTATCTTTAAGACCCGATGCAATAATTTGTTTATTCGAAGTGGGAGACGGTAAGCCCCTCCTAGGTGCTATGATTCCTGAAATTCTGGAATATTCTAGAACATGTGAAACCATTCCTGGGTTGCCTGGGTGGTTCAGTCGGTTAGGCGTCTGACTCTTGATTTTGGCTCGTGTCATGATCTCAGGGTCATGAGATCGAGCCCCGTGTCGGGCTCTGCACTCAGCAGGGAGTCTGCTTGGGATTCTCTCTCCCTCTGCCCCTCCCCCCACTCTGTCTTTCTCTCTCTCTCATAAATAAATAAAATCTTAAGAAAAAAACCCTCATTCCTGATATCTTATTGTATGTTTTTAATTTATAATCTTATTTTTTCTATTTCTCTTGTCGTTTTTAAAACAAAAATTGTCATATTTTCTTTTTTTCAGATGTATACATCCTATTTATATCCTTAAGAAGGCTTTTTGGTAGTTCTCACATGTAATATTAAATACTTCCCAACAAAACGTCCGCTGATGCACACCAGAAACGGCAGCGTGCTCCCCTGATCTCCTGCTCTGGTCCTGCGGGATTTTTGTTTCCGATTCTTACTATTTTTATGTCTGTTTTAAAACCTGCAGTTATTAGGCCTCCTCATTTCTGCTTGCTCCCCTGCTCACCTTTGTGTCCCCACCCTCACGTCCGTGTCGGGTCTGTCCGTCTGTCCGTCTGCCTGTTTCTGCGGAGCGTCTGTGCGCAGTGCGGGGAGCCAGGTGCCTGGTCCTGCTCCGGCTGGAGGCGTCTGGCTTAACTCATCAATCCGTGTCTCCTCTCCTTGCCCCCGTCCCCACTCGAAGCCCCCCACCTCGTGGCATTTTCTTGCTCTCTGTTCTGTCCTGCGAGGGCACTAGAAGCCCCCCCGAGGGTGGCAGTGGCCTATCGCTTGGGCCGCTCGTTGGGGTCCGGAGCCTCTCCCGTCGCTGGGTGTCTGGTCCTCTCCGTCCCCGGGTCTCTGCTCCTGGGCGCTGCCGGTCAGACGGGCGCGCGCTCTGCACCTGCATCCGTCTGCATCCTCCTGCCTGTGTTGGGGCCGATTCTGTCCGGCTCACCGGCTCACTTCCAGGGTCACCGTGCTCCTGAGTCCCTGTCACACTTTTCGTTCCATGACCACAACCCTCAGTCCCAGCACCTTGTTCTCCGATGGCTGCAGTCTGCAGGCTGGGCCCCTGTCCCAGCATGCAAGTCTGCCATCCTCTGTCCCTGCAGGGCACGGCCCCCTCCACCCACAGGGGCGAGTCCCGGGTGCCACCCTAGGACCATGCCCGCAGTACTCATCCCTCCCTTCACGCCACTCTGCTCCTCACGGGAACGTGTGTAAGGAAGGGCAAGTCCCTCGCTGGCTCTTGGGGTCTCTTCCTCAGACACCCGTGGGCGGGGCGTGCGGGGGCCGGGGTCTGACGGCCACCTGTGGTGCAATCGCCCCATGTAAGCACTTCCTCCAGAGCAGCCTGGAACAGGAAGCACCGTGCCCTCCCCATCGGGGCTCGCTGGCTTGTCCGCCCGACAGTGCAGCAGCCCGGCCAGGGTACCAACGGAGCTGACGCCCCTCCCTGCCCAGCCAGGATGCCCCACCGAGGTCACCAGGGCATCAGCGGGGTGAGTGGACAGGGGCTCCTCTGTGTCCAGGCTCGTTTTTCTAGAGGGGAACGGTTGGGCCCTGGGGCTCTTCCCTGGGGAGTGGCCCAGCCCTAGAGAGGGCCCTGCAGACCTGGTCCCCGTTACCCGCCCTGGGCTTGTCTGCTCTGGGCTCCCTTTCCCGGAGATCCAGCAAGGGGACTGCTGTGCCCACCGTGGCCAGAGCCCCACAGAGCAACGGGAGCGTCTGTAACCGGGGACAGGACCGAGCATGGCCGGAGGACAGGGCCTAGGCTCAGTCCTTTGCCACTGGGTCTAGGGTCTCTTGACAAGTCCCAGATACTTACCAAGCCCCTGACGTGGGGGCTCTGAGGCCCTGCAGAGCCAGGAGGAGGCTGGGGGGCAGGCGAGAACCCCCCAGAGGGGCCAGAGCAGGTGGAACCAGGGCCGTGCGGGGAGTCTGGGGGCCCCAGCCCGCCTTCCTCTTCCTGCTTGGGACCCCCTCCTCCCCACGCCCCCAAGGTTGGCCGTGGTGGTCTGTCCCCCCAGAGTCTGTGTGTGTGAGTGTGTGTGGAGGTGTGAGAGGGTGCACATGCTGTGTGAAGGCCTGTGAGTGTGAGATTGTGAGCACGTGTGCACAAATGTGCAAGCGTGTGTTTATGTAAGTGTTAGAGGATGTGAGCTGTGCGGGTGTGAGTGGGTGTGTGGGGTGTGTGCTGTGTGTGTGTGTGTGTGTGTGCTCTCCCGCTGCTGGTCCCACCTCTCCTCTTAGACTCTCAGAGGGTCTCAAGCTCCGGCTTGCTGCTGTGAAGGTGTCACAGGACAGCTGGTTTTAGGGGACAGATATCAGGTGTGTGACTGCACAGCTCACTGCCAGTCTCCTGGAAGCCTGTCCCCACATCTCCTGGGAGTGGGGGGCCAGAACCCTGAGGTCAGCCCGGATTGCAGCTGACACGGCCGCACTCCACACCATCCCCTGTCTCACCTCCTCCCGGTGCCCCGTCCTCTTCCCCTGACCCCCGGCTGGGATCCTGCCTGCTTGCCCGGCCGGGCTCGCCACACCTGCTCACCGCATCTGGAGGTGGGGGACTCCTGGGACCCTGGTGGACAAGGAGAAGGGGCAGTTGGGGGCGGGGCCCCCCTCAGCCTACGGTCCTCGCAGAAGTTTCCAGTGCCAGCGGCCGAGCCCTCGCTCCGTCCCGCATCTGGTGTAGGCACGAGGCTTCACTCTGGGGATGACAGCTGTCCAGGTGACCGCAGGCTGGGCTGGCTCCGAGGGGCCCGAGCTAGGCTTCTGTGATGGGGTGGGGGGGACCAGCTCTGCACTGGGTCTCACACCTGTTTCTCTGTGGAGCTGGTAAGCAAATCCAGGAGGGAGGAGAAACGGGGAGGGAACTTAGCATGGCCCCTGGGCTTTGCCCCAGGCTTGGGCCTCCAGGAAATCTGGGTGGAACTCCTGGCCCTGAGCAGAGGCCGCAGGCCCTGGGCCAACGTGGGCATTGCCTAGAGATTTCATGAGGGACGGAGTGCCGAGACCGGCAAGGGCCTTGCAGACCACTGTGTGGAGGACGCTGCCCGCTCTCTGGGGCGGGAGGGACCTGGCTGCACCCCGGGAGAAGGCCTTCCTGTAACAGGGGGAGACCCGTAGCTCAAACTCCCATGGACACTGTAATCAAATGTATGATTCAGAACCCCCTTCCCTGGGGGGTCAGGGACCAAGCAGACCCCGGCTTCCGCATGAACCCCTGGCGTGGCTACCCCGCTCGGTGCAGACAACCCCGTGCCACTGCCCAGACAGAAATGTGGGTCTGGGGGGACAGTCACTTTTCCTTATTCTCATGAAAGTTGAGTTGTGCTCCCACACTTCCTCTGCTGTCGGGGGCCCCCTGGGAGGGCCTCCTGGATGGGAGAAATATTTTCCAGCCGGACAGCCGGGCAGGCAGCCCCGGCGTCTGGGGGCGGAGTGGGCAGCAGCCAGAGGGCAGCTGCTGGGGCCACCATTCCCGCCCACGGCCCCCAGGGACATCTGCCTGTTTGTTCCCGACTTCTAACACCTCCTTGCCATGAAATGGCCCTGCCCTTTGACGCTGGATTCATTACACGTCCTCTGTTTTAGGTACAGATCCGTTCTTTTAGGGTCCATCTGTCTTGACATTTTCCTCCGTAGTCTTTACGCGCAGAAGCTTTCCTGATTCGGAAATACACATTCTTCTGGTTCTTTCTTCATCCTGTCTCCCCACACGGAGCCTACGTGGGCCTCTGGTGTGAAGGGGCCCCTTCCTGGGGAACCCCCATCTGTGCTCACCCCCTTTGAAGGCTGGTGCGCAGCCCACTCACGGTCTCTGACGCAGCCACAGCCACAGCCGCGCCGCCTGTCCCCCACCGTCGCGGGGTCGCCCTCCGGACCGCTCTAACCGAAGCCGCGTGGCCATCCTCCTCCCAATTTTGTTGCCTTTTTCAAGGAAACAGGTTCTGACGGGTTTGTGGATTTTAGCTTTTTTGTTTGTTTTCCGACTCAGACGCACACCCGTATCCGCGCGTTTCCGCCTCCCTCTCCAGAGCTTTCCCGCTCTTTCCGCCACTTCTGAATCTGTGTCCCATCCGGTCCCCTCCGTCCTCGTCCGCGGCCAGACACATGGGCATCGGCTTTGCCTCCTGGCTGCGGACACAGGCTTTCCACCGCCGGGGCCGAAGCTGTTCTCCGCAAACGCGATTTCGATTCCTCTTCGACTCGCGAGATGCTCTTTGTCTGATCAACACGGGAGAGCGTCTCACTGTGTTCCCACGGTCACGAACTGTGGTCTGCTCTGGGGCCTCTCGTCCTGGACGCCTTTCGCAGACGCCTGTGGGGCTGCGCAGAGGACACGCAGGTCACGCCTGCTCCGGCCCCTGCTCCTTCTGTCCCTGCGTCTGTCCGTCTGTCCTTCTGTCCAGAGCCTCGAGCTCTGAGCACCGCGGGTCCAGCGCCACCCCCACCCGTAGCGTGTGGCTTCTGTCCAATTCTGTGTTTTCTTGTGAAAAGCAGAAACGACCCCATCTCCACACTCTGTCTTGTGGCTTAAACCGAGGCTGATGCCTAGTTCAGCTCCGTTGTACACATTTGCTTTTTTCCTCCGTGAAACAGCCCTGAGTCGTCCAGCTCCTGGGGTGAGTATGGACCGAGCACAACCCGGGTCCCCTGTGTCCCATCTTTTTTCTTTTTCATTTCAGCGGCTCTGAAGTTCATTGTTTCATCAGTTGCATGTAACACCCGGTGCCCATCAGGCCAGGCGCCCCCCTTCATGCCCATCCCCCAGTACCCCAGCTCCCCACCGCCTCCCTTCTCTGCCTCTGATCTTTGAACTTTCCCGCCAGCACCTCCCCCCACTCCCCAGGCTGCCCCTGTCACATGATTGGGCGTGTCCCTTGTAAGCCCCTGGGGATTGGCCCTCTGGCCCCGCAGGCCTGCAGGTGCAGTGAACCCTTGGAGTTGACAGTGGCCTGGTCTGAGGGTTTGCACTTTTGCAAAACCTTCTTCTTCTTTATTTTTTTTAAAGACTTTATTTATTTATTTGAGAGAGAGAGAGAGAGTGAGAGAGAGCATGAGAGGGGAGAAGGTCAGAGGGAGAAACAGGCTCCCTTCATCCCCAGACTCTGGGATCATGGCCTGAGCCCAAGGCAGTGGCTTAACCAGCTGAGCACCCCCCCGCAGGCGCCCAAAACCTTCTTCTTTTGATGTGATGCGAGCCTGCGGTCAGGAAAGGATTCTTGACATGTTTTCTGTGCAAAAAGATGGTTTTATGAAGCACGAGGACGGGACTCGCGGCAGAAAGAGCTGCCCTGGGGGTGTGAGGAGGAGGCGGTTATGATTTTTTACGTTGGGGGCGCAGAGAGAAAGGAAATTTCTAAAGGGATTTTCTGAAAGACTTAACAGGGCCCTGGAGGTCAGGCTATTGGAAGCTAAGGTTGCTTCTTGCCTCCAGCAAAGCCTGAGCGGTCCTGCTGTTGTGAGCTCCTGGAGGACCCTCCCGTCTCTGTGTTTGTCCCTGTTTGTGCCCGGTTCGGTGGAAAGGGGATTTCATTGTTTCTGCATTTGTTTTGTCTTTGTTCCCTTCCTCGGGTTTGACAGGAAGCCTGATCTGACACCAGCTTGCTGTCCGGACTCAGACGCCGTGCCCTCCCTCTGCCTGCTGCCCACAGTGTTTTCTTCCTAAAGTTTCTGCTTTTTCTTATCTTTTACCAAATATGGGCTGTGTGTGCGCGTGTGTACGTGTGTGCGATCCGGAAGGAAGGTGCTATGCTGCTCCTCTAGCACTCCCTCCACTCTCAGACCCTTGCTGTCCAGACCTTCTGCAGACGACCCTGGTTCAGTGCATTCGTTTGGGGGCGGTGGGGCGGGGCCAGGGAGCGCACTTGGCCCTGGGTCGCTGGGTTTCCAGGAAGCCACCCGCGGGGGACAGACCCACGACTTCCGACTTCCGGCAGTTGCCCCCAGGCTGTGCCACCGTCCCCACCGCGGGCAGGGGCGTGAAGGGTGTCTGTGTCACCAAGTCCTCACAGCCGAGGGCGCTCAGGCACCGTGGGTCCCACCCTGCTCTGTGGGGAGACAAAAGCCGAAGGGCAGGCAGAGTGGGGGACCCTCCCTCCGGTGGTAGGGTGCTAGGGAGGGCCTGAGCCCCACCGGCTGGGCCAGAGGCCCAGCCCACCCTGGAGCCTGCGTCCCTCCCCGTCCCCCTCCTCCTCCCCAGGCTCAGCCTAGGCCTCCTGCTCCCAGGTCCGTGTCCCTACAAGTCGAGGGCCCACGGCGGCCAGTCCTGTGGTGCTGCAGACGCGCGCTCTCCCGGCCAGTCCCCCACCCGGAGCCGGGGTCCACACACCCCTCTGGTCCCGGGGGAAGTCAAGGCAGCACATGCTGGCGAGGCGGGCCGCCATCCAGGTCGGGCACCCTGTGCTGCTGCAGGGTGGCCAGCAGGACAACGCTCCGAGGGCCCGCGGTCTGTGCAGCTCCACGACATCAGTCTCGGGCAAGGCCCAGTCCCGGCCACTGGGCACGTGCCTGCCTGCTGCTGCCTGAGGGCAAGGAGGGAGCTGGCCTGCCCCACTTGCTTGGGGCAGAGGAGGACAGGCTGCGGGCTCTGCCTCTCTGTCCTCCCTCTGAGCTCCCAGAGCCGCAGTGCGTCCAGGCATCCTGCCCCCGCAGGCTGGGGGACACGTGGGCTGGGGTGCAGCTGTCCCAGTGGCCGCACCGTCCCCGTGGCCACCCCAATGCTCCAGTGGGCAAGGAGTGCTTTGGGACAGGGCAGCTCCCCACCCCCGCCCAGCTTCCCAAGGTCAGGGTCAGGACTTCGAAGTCTGTGGGTTAGGAAGTGAGGTCCCTCCCTCTCGGTAGGAGGGGTGTGCCTGCCGAACCGGCACCCGGGTCTACATCCTGCTGGTGCTCAGGGCCCACAGAGCATACACGCTGGTTGTTGGGAATGTTTGGGGCTCGGTCTGTGGCCCCAGGAGAGCGAGTAGGGCAGCCACTGCCCCAGGACCTTGGTGCCAGCTCACCCTGCCTGAGCACAGGTGTGGCTGGGGTGCTTGGGAAGGAGCCTCCCACCCTCTACAGGGGGCAGCCTCGGGGCAGGGTGGCGGCGTTCCCCAGAGGCTGATGTGCCCTAGACAGTGGCCAGGCAGGCCCAGGGCTGTGGGGGGAACACTCGAGTCAGCACGGGCAGTCAGCTGTGAACTTTGGAGGGACCCAGATGGAAGCTGGGACTGGCCACAGCCAGCCTCGGCCTGAGCCCCATGCGCCTGACTGGGAGGCACGGATGGGGCCTGGCGTGAACCTGAGCTGTCCGCCCCCCGCCTCCTGGGCCAATCCGGCCGCTGCTCTGACCCAGGAAGCCAGTGCGCTGTGTGGCTTCTGCTTTTGACCCCAAACGGGAAGGATGGAGCATTCTGACATTTCTGGGTCCTGATTATAATCTTGGTGGGGACCAGGGAGCAGGAGGGTCACCTCCAAAAAATGGGAGTCTGAGGCTGGGCAGGGCTTCGCAGCGCAGGAGCCCCTCCCTGCGAGCCCCCCCCCCCCCATTCTCTCTCACGCAGAGCCCCCGCCCTGGGCACGGCACAGAGGCAGGTGTTACAGGAGAGCAAAGGGGGGCCCACCTACAGGCCATGCCCAGAGCCCTACAGGCCGAGGTGGGGACCATGCATGCGGTCGGTCTGGGTTGTGGCCTCTGCTGGCCCTGAGGATCCCCTCCTCCCCCCTCCCCAGGCCATGTGCTGGGCTGGGTAGCCCCGGGAGCCTCACAGGCCCGCAGCAGGGGGAGGAGCTGGCATTCACATCACCTTCTGGGTGGGCAGATCTGTTTCTGGTCGAGCAGGCCCGTTCCTCCTGCCACCCCTGATTCCTGGCTTCTCCGCACCGGGCTGCTCTCCGGGTCGAACGAAAGACCACAGCCAGCTACAGAGCTCTGAGATGGGGGCGCCTACCTGCACGGGCGTTCCTGCTCTGGGCCCAGCCCCTGACCTGGGGCCCTGTAGGGGGAGGGCGATGTTGCCCATGCTGACCAGAGCCCAGCAGGCCGTGGGTCTGAAGGCACCCCGTCTGCCTTGAGGACCCAGAACAAGAGCCTGAACACCGGGCCTCCCCCACCTACCGTGCCTCTGGGGGCGTCGGGATCCGTCCGTGCCCAGCCCGTCCTCGCCTTACTGCAGGTGCCGGGTTTCTGAGGACAGTAGGTGTGCCCAGAGAAAATCACGGTCACCTAGAGCCATGGCCTTGGGCCAGGCAGGCCTGGACTCTGTGCTCGCCCTCTGGCAGGGGTCCAAGCCGGTGGCTGGCTCAGGCATGGCACCCGGGAGGTGCTCCGGCGACTTCTCGTCCTCGTCTGGTTCTGGGGCCACCAGGAGGCCTGGGCGGGGTGGGGCTCTGCTCTGAGCCCAGTGCTCAGTTCCTGGGGCTCAGGCATGACCCGGCACATGCAGCCCCACACGTGTGATGTGTGCGTGTGATGTGTGATTGTGATGTGTGTGTGAGGTGGGCACGCACACGTGTGCTTCCTGCTCGTCCTCGGAGTCCCCGTGGGCGCATGCCACACCACTCAGGCTGTCGGGGAAAGACGGTGGCTGGGGCTTACCCCGGTTATCCCCAGCCAGGGTGGAGGGACACAGGACCGCCCAGTGCTGCATCTGGAGGCCGCAGCCCATAATCCGGGCTGCAGGGCCGCGTCACCGAGACCCCTTCCCTCCACAGGACATGCTGAGCCGGCGCACCCTGCTGCTCACGCTGGGGTCTCTGCTGAGCCTCTGGTCCGGTGAGTTCTCCGCATCCTGGGTTGGGAAGAAGGGGGCCACCCCCGTGCTCCTGAGCTGGGTTCCAGCGCCTGCAGAAGGACTGTGCCCCAGGGAGTGCGTCCCAGACCCCGGCCCCCGGGTGCCCACGCTCTGCAGCTCCTGGAGGCCTGGCCCCAGGCCGCCAGCCTCCCTCCTGCCCTTCCTGGTCCTCCTGCGGACCCCCCTCCTCCCCCGCACCCCCCTTACCGCTGCCCCAGCACCTGTGGCTCTGCGCGGGTGGCCCGGCGCTCACGGAGCCGCGTCGTCTCCCAGCAGCCCTCTGCCAGGAGTGCACCAAGTACAAAGTCAGCACGTGCCGGGAGTGCGTGGAGTCGGGCCCTGGCTGCGCCTGGTGTCAGAAGCTGGTAAGAGCCGCCAGGCCCTGCCGGTCCTCACGCCCGTCCTGTAGGCCCGTCCCTGAGCTGGGGGCCCTCTCTCTGCCTCTGGAGCTTCTGGCACCCGGGGCGCCACCACTCTGTTCCCTGGGGGGGCGGGAGCAGCCTGGGGCATGGCCTGTTCAAGAGACAGACAGACAGACCCGGCCTCACCCCAGGGTGGCCGCGTGCCCCCTGACCAGTCAGGAGCCCTGCCCAGAGGCCGTGGGTTGCTAGGAGGCATCCAGGGAAGTGAGAGGAACAGCTCTCAGTGTGGAAGGTGTGGGAGGCTCCACGTGGGGAGCCTAACTCTGCCGCGGTCTTCTGTCGTGGCCGGCTGTGAGGCCTTCCAGGAAGGAGGGCAGAGGCCCGGACAGCCAGGGCACGGTCCCCAAATGACAGACCCACCCTCCTCCTGGACAGAACCCTCAGATCCCGACCACGGCTCCTCCCCCAGAGCCCTCCAGATGCCGACCCCGCCCCCTGCCCTGGGGCGTCCATGAGGTTCCGGTGCTGCAGGTGTGGCGGGAGCCCCACACGGGTGTGCACACACTATTATTTTCTCGCGAGCACTCGCAAGCAGACTGCAGACCTGAAGCCCGTTTGTTGAAAACGTCCCGTGTCCTTCTCACGCACAAGAAGCCTGCCGGAGACCCACAATATGCTTTTCCAGGACGGGACAGCTGCCCCGATGCTCGATCCCATCTGCCCGCCCTCCGCAAACATTTCCAGCTGTTCCAGCAGTGCCTTCCACTCTGTTTGCCGAGGACCCAGGCTCCCGCTCTGCTGGCGGCGGCGGTCCTGTCCCTTTAGTCTCCCGGAACCACGACAGAGGAGCCCCCGCCCATGTCATGCACCCTTGACATTTCCAACCGGGGCAGAACAGCAGCCGTGTCCACGGCCCGGCATCTCCTCTGCTCCGGCCCAGAAGCTCCTGTGTGTTTCGGCCAGAGCACTGCACGGGCTCACGCCGTCACCGTTGTCCCAACGCGGGTGACGCTAGCTCGGCCCACTCAGCTGATGTCACTGTTCCTCTGCAGTGATTCCGTAGTTTGTGGGGAGCTGCGCCGGGGCCAGGAGACCTTCCCTCCCCGTCGGGCTCACAGCCCTCACGTCAGCACCCCGGGTGGTCTGCGCCGGCGTTGCTCAGTACTGCCAGGGGTGCCGTCCGGTCCATAAACTCCCATTACGGCTCCCGACGTGAGGAGGAGTTTGTCCTTCGCCGTCTCTCTCTCATCTGAGCGGCTCCACAGAGTGTTAGAGTTTTATTTTATTCCGTCACTGTCATCTGAGGCTCAAATGCTCCCAGCTTGGGCCACGGGGATCCCCTGCCCCAGGCTGGCTCTGTGTCCCCCCAGGACACCCCTCGTGGCTGTTTTTGAGCGCTTCCTGACCCCAGAGTCGGTCGCCCCAGGCCCAGCCCTGCATCTCCGCCCCAAGCCTGGAACTCCGGTTTCTCTGGAGGTTCCGGTTCCCTTTCAGGAGAAGCGGGGCTCCTGACATCCGCCGCACACTTCCTCATTTTCTCCCTCCCACGACGCTCGGATGGGACCTTCTGAGCGCCGCAAGCAGCCCACAGAGTCGCGGCAGGGTGTGGTCTCCCCCCTTGGATGTGGTCTGGCCACAGCCAGGGATTGGGGCTGACACGTCCTCCAGCAGGTCGCAGCTCCCCTGCCCCTCCGTGAGCGTATGCGATTCCGCGGAACCTCCGTGAGCTTCCCAGTGCATTCCACAGGAGGCTTCCCGGGAGTTCACTTGATTTCTCGAGTTCTCCGAGCCTTGACAGAGTCCTGAGGGGGAGCGCCAGCCCTCCCTGCCCCGCGGCCCCCCACGTACCTAGTACCTAGCTGGCCCCGCACGGCACCTTGCCCTTCCTGAGACTCCTTCCCTGCAAGGAAGCAGAGACAGGTGTCCGTGCCACGGAATGGGGCCTGCTCCGGCCCCGCTTATGGGGGAGAAGTGGGCACGAGGACACTGCCCTGAACCCAGGACCCCCACACTCCTCTCCAAACAGCGAGGGGCTTGGCCCAGAGTCCTGGCCCATGTGCTGGGGTTCTCGGGGTCCCACGTGTCTTCTGTCAGGAGGGCACCTCTACCAAAGCATCTGCTGCTGGAGGGGACAGCCACCCCGGCCACCCCGGCCACTGCTGGCCTCCCTGGCCACCCTGGCCACCCCTGGCCACCTCTGGCCACCCCAGCCACCCTGGCCACCTCTGGCCAGGTGCCTCAGCCGGCTGCTCCCGGCCCTGGGGCTGCTGAGTGACCCCACCGGCCAGCCTGGGGCTGGACACATGGGTCCTTCAGTCACTCTGCTGTGGGAGGCAATGGTGGCAAACACCCCATTTCCACACTGGGGTGATCTTGGAGCCTCACGGGGAGGCCGTCGGCTGGCGGCTAACTTCCTAGACACCCAGCCCCCACCCACACCCACCCCCGTGAGGACACCTGTCTGGAACCCCAGGTGCAAATGAGGAGGGACAGCCTCCTCGAAGGACCCCAAGGGTTGGACTTGTGCAGCCCCCACAGTGTCGCCCCCACGTGTCCTCTGCCCTCCTCCTGACCCCTGACTGCCCCCCAGAACTTCACCGGGCTCGGGGAGCCAGACTCTGTTCGCTGCGACACCCGGGAGCAGCTTCTGTTGAAGGGCTGTGCGGCTGATGACATCATGGACCCCAGGAGCCTGGCTGAGACCCAGGGGGACAGGAAGGGCAGCCAGCAGCAGCTGTCCCCACAGAAAGTGACACTCTACCTGAGACCAGGTAGGCTTGAGCTTGGCTGGTGGTGAGTCAGCGTGTGTGTGTGTGTGTCGGTCCCTCTGGGTGCCAGGGCCCACCAGTGGCACAAGTGTCCACGTGGCCAGGCCAGGAGGCAGGTAGGCGAGCCCCGAGGACTGCTGGAAACCTCGAGAACAGAGTCTGAGTTCCCCTGTGGGCCTCTCCCCTCTGCCGGCAGAAGGATGCCCCAACACCTGGTGTCTGCTGCTGTGTGCTTCTGCTGTGTCCTTCCCAAATGAGAAAGGGAACCATCTGAGAAACACTATTCTGTCCCACTCTCGGAATGCCAGGTGTGCTTGGCAGAGTCAAGGCTCTGATAAGTCCTGCAGCCAAGCAACCTGAGCGACTGTTTAAGTCAGTGTTGCTCAAACTGATTTGACCCCAGAACCTTGTCTGTGCTCCAAGAGGCGCCCTTCAGGAAGGGGACCTGGTGAAGAGCAGGACCACGGGGATAGGCCAGGGCAGGGCTGGGGTGGAACCTGCCCTGTACCACTGCCCCTGGGCTGGGACCCAGGCCCGCACCCGGACCGCTGGGGTGCTGGTGCGGGGACGGAGCAGGCTGCCCAGGCCGCCAGGCCCACCGGCATCTCAGCAGTGCTAGTTGAACTGCGAGCTCTCAGTGGTAGATTTATGTCTGGAACATTCTGTGGGGGGATGTGGTTCCTTCCTGAGGTGCCCTGTGACTTGTCCACAGGCCTCAGGGGGTAGTTGTGAGCATTTGGGGACCCGTAGAAGGTACGTCAGTGCCCCCAGAGGCCCTAACTCTCCCGTCTCTGCCGGCAGGTCAGGCGGCTGCCTTCAATGTGACCTTCCGGCGGGCCAAGGGCTACCCCATCGACCTGTACTACCTGATGGACCTCTCCTACTCCATGCTGGATGACCTCATCAATGTCAAGAAACTGGGGGGCGACCTGCTCCGGGCCCTCAACGAGATCACCGAGTCCGGCCGCATCGGTGAGGCGACCCCCCCAGTCCCAGCCGGCCCTGCTGCGCACACACCTCCCCACGGCCATGCAGGGCAGGGCACTGCGCGGGGAGCTCTGCCAGGGACCCCCTATGGAGAGGGTCCCCTGGGGAGGCCCCCTGGGGAGGCCACGCCTGGACGCTGGCTCCCCTGACACCGTCATGCCACGCGAAGATCTGTGACCTGCACGGTAGTCGCACCATCAAACACACGTGCCCCCCCCCACGGACCCGGTGCAAGTCGGGGGCCAAGGGGACACCCGCCTCTCATCTAGGTCCCCTCCCCAGCCATTGTCCCTGCGTGCAGGACATGCATATGCTTGTGTTCACACACCCGTCTCACCCACGCTCATGCACGTGGGTGTGCGCCGTCCCGTTCTCTCGCTTGCCCTGGTCCACAGCAGGGAAACCGAGGCTCGCGGGAGAGCCCCCGCCTGGGGCCGCCCCTGCCTCCCGCCCTCACCCCGCCCGCCCCCCAGGCTTTGGGTCCTTCGTGGACAAGACGGTGCTCCCCTTCGTCAACACGCACCCTGAGAAGCTGAGGAATCCGTGCCCCAACAAGGAGAAGGAGTGCCAGCCCCCCTTCGCCTTCAGACACGTGCTGAAGCTCACCAACAACTCGAACCAGTTCCAGAGGGAGGTCGGGAAGCAGCTCATTTCCGGAAACCTGGACGCCCCCGAGGGCGGGCTGGATGCCATGATGCAGGTCGCCGCGTGCCTGGTGAGGTCCTGTCCCTGGCCTGGCCCCCAGCCTTCCCCAGACCTCTGTCCTGCAGCCACGGGGCCGGCCGCTGAGGGTGGCCCCGTCAGACTCAGAGGGCCCCGTCGGCCCCGGGGCCTGCCGCTCACCCACACATGTCACCGTGGGCCTGTGACACTGGGCCACCGTCCACGCCGCAGTCCATTGCAGGATCTTGCAGGGTGAGCCCACGGAGCAGTGTGGTGCTCGCGGCTCCCGAATGGCGTCCCCCCTGCCGTGGCTTCCCCCCAGGGAAGGCGGCATCCCCCCCAGGCATCCCCGTGTGTGGTTTCAGTGGTGGGTCGCCGGCCCCTCCCCACAGCAGCCCTCCCCCTGCCTCATCACCAACCCCGGTGGTCGCCCCATTCCGTCACACCTGCTGCGTTTGTGCTGTAGGTGTTATGGTCCGGACCGCTCCCTGGCTCTTTTGTTTGATTTGTAAAGATTTTATTAAATTTATTTGTCAGAGCAAGAGAGCACAAGCAGGGGGAGCGGCCTGCAGAGGGAGAAGCAGGCTCCCCGCTGAGCAGGGAGCCCAGTGCAGGGACCCTGACCCCATGACCTGAGCTGGAACAAGTCAGACGATGAACTGTCTGTGCCCCCCAGATGCCCCTTTTTTTGTTTTGTTTTTAATATTATTGTTATTTATTTTTATTTTATTATTATTTTGTATAACACCCTGTTTTAACCCTTCCCAAACCAGACTCCAGGCTCCCAGCCTCTCTGTGGGCCCAGGCACAGCGACCATGTTTCTGTTTTTGTGTCCTGCCGGCTCTGTGACCACACGTGTGTCACTAGCGTCCCCATCTCACCCGTGTCCCCTTGCACGTCTCCCGGTTTCCGTCATCCTTTGTTCTACCATGTTTCATGTTGTAATATGCGTTTCTGTGAGTATTTTCTGTTTTGGGGGTATTTCCCAAGATTGGTCCCTGGCCGGAGTGGCCAGGGAGGCCATGGGCTGTATTTCAGCAGACAGTATCCCCCCACCCCTGCCATGTGCGAGGGCATTTCTCCAGCAGCCCTGGTGCTGGAATCCGGACTGGACTACGGACTCCGAGTCCCGCGGCTGGTCCCGGGAGGGGTCCTCCTGTTCCCAGGAAGAGCAGGTGTGGGGCACAGGCACGGCAGGGGCCTCGAGGCTGCCGCACCACGCTGTGCCCACGGGGGACACTGAGGCCGTCACCCCGCCGTCTCCCCAGGAGGAAATCGGCTGGCGCAACGTCACTCGGCTACTGGTGTTTGCCACGGATGACGGTTTCCACTTTGCGGGTGACGGGAAGCTGGGCGCCATCCTGACCCCCAATGACGGCCGCTGCCACCTGGAGGACAACACATACAAGCGCAGCAATGAATTTGTGCGTGGCCCTCCCGTGTCCCGTGTCCCCCCCCCGTCCCGTGTCCCCGCGTCCCCAGAGGAGTGGACAGCAGGGGGGTCCCGGGAGGGAACGCCAGGGCCGGGCTGCAGCTTTGGGGGGGAGCCTCTGCTGGCGGCACAGGGGGCCCAGGGGGCTGGGGCGAGGTCGGCGTCCCCTGGTCTGGTCCCCGACCCGTCGCAGGAGCTTACCTTCACCCGCTGCGACCTGGAATTGTTCGGGGGTGGGGTACCGGGGTCTGGGCCCGGGTCTGGGCCCCGGGTGGGGCGGACAGAGGGCCCGGGGCTCTGTCCCTGACCCCGGGCTGTCTGACCAGAACTCCCCTCCAGGACTACCCGTCGGTGGGCCAGCTGGCACACAAACTGGCCGAAAACAACATCCAGCCCATCTTTGCGGTGACCAAGAGAATGGTGAAAACCTACGAGGTTGGTGGCGTGGGGGTCCTGAGCAGCGGGGGGGCGGGGGGAACCCACGGGCACGGCAGACGCATGCGCACAGCTGGGTGGAGGGCAGGGGGCGGGGCCCAGGGGGGCGGGGCCCAGGGGGGCGCAGAAGGGCGGGGGTGACGGGGGAGGGGCGTGGGGGCGGGGCCCGGGGGGGCAGGGTGGGCACCCGGGCGCTGCCGCGGGAAGGATGTTCTGTGGGTGGACGGTAACGAGGCGCCGTGTGTCCACGTCCGCTGCGGCACAGCGAGTGTCTCTGCTGACCCAGGGCATGGTTCACACGGTTCACACGCGTGCACGCTGCCCCGGCCCTTCCGTCCCAGGTCGGGGGTGTTCCACAGGGACGCGCCCCCACACGCCCGCGCCCGAGCCGGTCCCCACCCGAACCAGCTCTGCACGCCGACCGCACTTGCTTCTCTGCTTTGGGAACCCTGGTCTCTCGGGGCTTCTCGGGGTGACCGTCCCTGCTCCATTCCCGCAGAGTGCGGGGACCTTTCTCTTCCTCCTCTGCCCTTCCCGCCCGCTGTCTGGCACCGGGATTGCCATCCTGCCTTCCCAGCACGCCCAGGCTAGCCTCCTCTCGGCTCTGGGGGGCTGTGAGGGCACCTGCTTGCCCCCCACCCTTGGTCCTGGTTATCACCGTGGTGGGGCCTGCTGCCACTTCTGTGGGGGGTGAGATGCTGGCGGGGGGGGGGGGGGGGGGGGGGGGGCCCAACCCGGAGACATCAGCAGCTCCTGCTGTCAGTTTTCCAGGCTCTGAAAGAGGACAGGACCCTGCAGGGAACACAGAGGAGGGGGAGGGCAGGGGTCCAGGAGAACCCCTGGGGTGGGCCCCGGAAGCTTGCCAAACCACAGGGACAGGGGTTCCGTGCAGGGCTGGTGACCGGGTGCAGGACCTGGCAGGCCGCACTAGGGGCCACTCGGGTAACTTGCTGTCGGGGCAGGACAGTGTGGTGATGGGAGTCGAAGCAGGAGATCTGAATGCAAAGCCCCAGCATGGACGGTGCCCTGGCGAGTCCCAGGCCTTTCTGAGCCTGTTTCCTGATTTGTGGGGCTCCTGGGTGAGGGGCATCGAGACCACCCAGAGCCTGTAAGGAGAGCATTTACTGGACTGTCCTTGGTGCCCCTCACTGAGGGATAGCAGGTTGGAGGGACAGGAGGAGGAAGAGCCCAGTTTCCCAGAGCCATGGGGCTGGGGGTCCTGCACCTGCGGTGGAGGGGAGAGGGCGCTGGAGGCCACAGGGGCTTGGTGCCCGGGCTGTGGCGGGCCTTGTGGACTCTGTGGAGGTACCTGGACTCTATCTGGGGAGTCACGGGGGGCTTTGGGGCAGAGAAGTGACCCAAACATCAGTTCTGTAAGAGAGAGCAAGGATTCGGTCTTCTATGGACAACAGAGAGAGGGGCACGGGGGCAAAGAGTCGGCCTCCACATGCTGCAGCCTGCCCCCGCGCGGGACCCCGGCCCGTTCCCCACGGTCGTTACTGCGATTACATCACAGTATGGAAGTGCTCGCCACCCACCCCTTCCTGACGGTGTCGGCACATTTTGTGATTTTCTGCTTTGGCTGTACCCGACGAGCCTACCGGGCAGCGACACCCGGTCCAGGCGGCGAGGCCCAGCTCGTCCCAGCAGGTCGCAAGCTGGAGGTCGGCCAAGGAGGAGTGCTCCCGGCAAGGAAATGGGCTGGTCCCGGGCCACTGACCATGCGCCGTTTTAACCGAGCGATAAGCTATCTGGGGAGATGGTCTGGACCATTTTAAGGCGAGAAGGAAACCTTCTGGGTGTTATGAGCTCCGGGGACACCGTGGCTTCTGTGGCCCCAGGGCCTCGGCTGAGACGGGTCTGGTCTCCTGGCCCAACAGAAACTCACCGAGGTCATCCCCAAGTCGGCGGTCGGGGAGCTGTCGGACGATTCCAGCAACGTGGTGCAGCTTATCAAAAACGCCTACAACGTGAGAGCCTGGGTGCTCGCGGGACCCCTGGGGCAGGGGCCAACCCCACCCCCCACCCCGCCCCTCTGCAGGCCTGTGGAAGGGTGGTCTCCGAGGGCGTTCTGGACAAGCAGAGCCTGGCTCTTCCCACGGACCCATCAGGTCCTGCCCCAGGGATGGCATGTGTGTGCCCTGCCCGACCCTCGCCTCCGACCTCCCTGAAACACGGCCTCCAGCCTCCTCCTCGGCTGCGGTCCAGTGGGCTTCCCGGCTCCGCAGGCTGAGAGCTCCCTGGAAGTGCCCTTGGACTGAGCTAAGGCACTGCTGAGGGCTGCTCCTCATGCCCTTGTGGGGCCCGAAACCCCCCAGGCAGGCCCTCCTGCATCATCACACCCACAACACTGGCCCTGCTCACCCACCAATGACTATCTCTCTGTCTCTCCCCCTGGCTCTGTCTATCTCTCTAGTCTCTGTCTCTCTCTCTGTCTTTGTCAGTATCTCCCTGTCTCTCCCTCTCTATCACTGTTTCTCCTTGTTTCTCTGTCTTTGTCTCCCTCGCCCTCTGTCTCTCTGCATCTCCCTCTGTCTCTGTCTCTCTGTAGCTGTCTCTCTGTCTCTCATTCATTTACACAGTTTCCCCATCTCCTAGCCCATGCCAGGCACGGGGCATGTGGTGGTGGGTGACCTCCAGGCCCCATCCTCGTGGCTTTGGTCTGTCTCTGTTGGCCCCCTCCCCAGCCTGTCCTGGGGGGCCTCCCCAGCTCCCCATGGGCATGTAGACGGAAGGAAGGATGAGCAATGCAGGGGCGTCAGCGCCTCGGCCGGGAAGCCCCGGGGACAGCGGTAGGAAGCCCCTAACCCACAGCTGCTCTTTCCCCCCAGAAACTCTCCTCCAGGGTCTTTCTGGACCACAACCTGATCCCCAGCACCCTGAAAGTCACCTATGACTCCTTCTGCAGTAATGGGGTGTCACACGTGGACCAGCCCAGAGGGGACTGTGACGGCGTCCAGATCAATGTCCCGGTGAGACCCTGCCCCACCCTTCCGGAAGGTTCTCCCCCGGGGACAGCTAGGAGCGCACCCAGGCCCACGGCTAGCACAGGGACAAGCAAGGACAAGGGCCAGAGTCACGGCCAATCCAGCTCTGTCCCCGGGCAACCAGACACTTCTTGGGCAAGGCGGCCTCTCGCAGGGGTGAGGAGAGAAGCGGGTGTGGGCTTCCCAGTGTGGTCGGAGGACGGTGCATGGCAGCGCCCCCTGGGGGCGGATGCTGGCCAGCGCATACCGACAAAGAAGGGGGTCTTTTGTGCCCACAGCGCATCTGGTTTGTTTGGTCTTGTTTCCCGATTCCTGGGTTTCCGGTTTGGGGGGTTCTCTTCTAGGGTGTTATTTTATTTACTTATTTTTAAGTAGGCTCCGCACCCAATGTGGGGCCTGAACTCGTGACCGTGAGATCAGAACTCGGGTGCTCTACCCAGCCGGCCAGGCGCTCCTGTTTGTTTGTTTGTTTCTTTCTTTCTTTCCTTCTTTCCTTCTTTCTTTGACAAAGATATTAAAGCATGGGCCACATGGATGATTAGAAATAGGGTTATTTCTAGGAGTTATTTCCATAACATTGTGATTTTATTATGATCATAAAAATTAAGTTTTTCCTTTTTCTGGCTGGGAACCAATATTCAGCAAAAATACTTGCTGTTCTTGCGATTTTAAATAGGACATTGGAATTCCTTCAAGTGTGTCACTCGCTCAGGGTTGCACCTAGACTCTCGCGGAACTCTCTCTCCCTCCCTTGGGGCGACCCACTCAGGAGTCTATTCAGTCCTTGGGCGGGCTGATGGCTTCTTTCACGCTTCGTTGTGTTTCTGCTCTGCGTGAGTGTCCCCTACAGCAGGTCGCGGAAACTGATCTGGGGTGTGGCTGCTTTTGACCGGTTGGTGCTCCCTGAAGCCCGAGCTGCTGACTTCCCGGTTGGGGGGGCGGGGACTCCGCTCTGTCCCACCTGGTTCCCCTGGGGCACGGTCCCCTACCCTTTATCTGGGGTCAGAGCACAACTCCATATCCAGAATTTAGAGCCTCCTGTGGGATTCTGGCGTCGTAGTATTCCAGACACGGAGAAAATCTGTGTCCTTTCCCAAGCCACTGAGGCTGCTTTCTAACACATGAATGTTAAAAACGTTCCAGCGACACCCACCCCCTTCCCGGTGTAAGGCCAAGCCAGAAGATGATGGGTGTGGAGGGCAGCTCTGGTAGGGCAGGCCCCGGTGGGGCTGCTGCCCCCACGTTCCTGTGGGTCCAGCTCTGGTGCTCCAGACGCCCTTCTCTCTCTCCTCGTGTTGGGTGCCCAGTCCTGGATTAGCATGGGGTGTTCTGTGTTCTTCCCTCTGTCCCCTCCCCATGCTTCCCTGCATCCCCTCCTGGGGTCTGGGAAGGGCTGGGTCCTCCCCCTGCTCCAGCCAGGCTCCTGGACAAACCCCAAGTCCAGGCCGCAGGGCAAGCAGATGGGGGCACGTCTGGTCCCACCGTCCCAGCCTGGCCTGAGCCCTGCCTTCCCCGCACAGATTACCTTCCAGGTGAAGGTAACCGCCTCGGAGTGCGTTCAGGAGCAGTCCTTCCTCATCCGCGCCCTGGGCTTCACGGACACGGTGACCGTGCATGTCGTCCCCCAGTGCGAGTGCCACTGCCGGGACATGAGCCAGGACCACCGGCTCTGCGGCGGCAAGGGCTTCCTGGAGTGCGGCGTCTGCAGGTGCGGGGGTGGGGGGGGGAGGCGGGGTGAGGCGGGGTGAGGCCGGCTTCAGCCGATCCAGCGGCAGGCAGCGGAGAGAAGGCGGGGGGCACTGCGTCCCCCTCGGGACCTGAGCCCGGCCGCTCCCGCTGCAGGTGCGAGGCTGGCTACATCGGGAAGAACTGTGAGTGCCAGACACACGGCAGGAGCAGCCAGGAGCTGGAGGGCAGCTGCCGGCGGGACAACAACTCCATCATCTGCTCGGGGCTGGGGGACTGCCTGTGCGGACAGTGCGTGTGCCACCAGAGCGATGTGCCCAACAAGAAGATCTTCGGGCGCTACTGCGAGTGTGACAACGTCAACTGCGAGCGCTACGACGGGCGGGTCTGCGGGGGCGAGGGTGAGTGCGGTGTGGGCGGAGGGACGGGTGGGGGAGTGGACAGACAGGCGGACGGGGCGAGCGGGACCGTGGGCGGAGGGACGGGCGGCGGGCCTGAGTCCCACCACCTCCTGCAGAGCGGGGCACATGCGACTGCGGCAAATGCCACTGCCGGGAGGGCTTCGAGGGCTCCGCGTGCCAGTGCGAGAGGTCCACCAGGGGCTGCCTGAGCGCCGAGGGCTACGAGTGCAACGGGCGCGGCCGGTGTCGCTGTAACGTGTGCGAGTGCGACGCGGGCTACCAGCCGCCACTGTGCCTGGAATGCCTGGGCTGCCCATCGCCCTGCGGCCGGTACATGTGAGTGCCCCCGCTCCACCGCACCCCGCGCCACTCGCCAGCCCCTATGGCTCCTCCACCAGCACCTCCACGCACCCCCCCCGCACCCCCCGCCCCCGTCCTTGTCCTTGCAGCCCTCGTCACTGCAGGGAGCCCCTAACACCCACCCCCCAGCAGATCCCTCCCGCCACTGGGCACCGAGCTCTGGGGTGTGTGCTCTCACACACTCAAGCTCATACCTGTGCTCACACTCACACTCACACTTGTGCTCACGCTCGCATTTGTGCTTGCGCTCACACTCACACCTGTGCTCACATTCACCGTCACGCTCGCATTTGCGCTCACACTCACACCACACTCGCTTTCACACTCACACTGGCGCTCACGCTCGCACTCAGGGCTCACACCTCTCTGCAGCACCTGCGCCCAGTGCCTGAAGTTTGACCAGGGCCCCTCGGGGAGGAACTGCAGCGCGGAGTGCGGGAACGTGGGCCTGCTGAGCGCTCCCCCGGAAAAGGGCCGCAGGTGCAAGGAGCGGGATCTGGACGGCTGCTGGATCACCTTCACCCTGCGGCAGCGGGCGGGCAGGGACAGCTACGACATCCACGTGGACGACAGCCGAGGTGAGGCCGGCGAGGGTGTCTCTCCCCACTCAGATGGCTGGCCAGGGGGTTAGGCAAGCGTCCACAGCCACGGTCACAGCCTGCCCCCTCTTCCTGGCTCACGTTGTGACCCGTGAGAGGCGGTGCATGGCTTGTCCCCGCACGACAGCGCTGTTCCGGCCAAGGGGACACGTGTGGGCTAGGTCCCCACCCCTGGACCACTGCCTGGGGCTCCCGAGAGTGGGTCCACAGAGAGCTGTGTGAAGACCACCGTGGGCTCCGATCTCAGCCCTGGAAGGGGGCATGGGGCCAGGAGCCCAGGTGGCACGCCTTCTGAAATGCTGCTTGCCTATCCGTCACTGGGCTCCGGGGCCATACCTGGCCCGGTAGTGGTTGAAGGCATGGGGACTCCAAGCCTGTCCTCGTGGGGTTCACATTCCAAAGGGTTGGGGCACACTTGGCCAGTACCAGAGACAGCGTGGGACTGTGGCCAGGATCATGAGGCGCAAAGATGATGTGGGTGGTGTGTGGGCCCGACGTCAAGGTCAGACGGTCTCTCGGAGGAGGACCACTGCCGTGGAGACTGCAGCATGGGAGCATCCGCGCGGGGGAACTGGAGGGCATGGGGTCAGGGGCCCTTGGCTCTGGGTTTTTATGGAGCCCCTGTGAGGCCTGCGACGCATTTGGGTCTCTCTCCAAACATACCAAAAAGCCATGAGCAGCTTGGGGAAGAGCGAGGGACACATTGGAATTGTGTGTTCGGAAGCTGAATATGGACCCATGAGGCCCCTGCCGGACACGGGCACAGTGGCGTGCAGAGGGATATGTGTAGGGGCGGTGGGGGCGTGGGACAGCGTGGACAGAGCCTGCCCCTGGATGGAACACAGGCATGGGACCAGGGGGAGCAAGAGGCAGACCCATAGGCCCCAACAAGTGGTGTGGGGGTCAGGCTACTTTTTAGGAGGCACACTGGGTGGGTGACAGAGACGGACACATGTGGGTGCTGGGACGTCAGGAGCACGGACACACATTGGGATGGGCCTCAGGGCTCTGGACAAGCAGCCACCAGGCGTGTGCGGGGCACCCAGATGCTCAGCTCCCCTGCTTCCTGCTCAGAGAGGCTGAGGGCAGGGGAGCATGGGGCCAGGGGCCCAGTCCCCAAGGTGGATGCCGCAGGCATGGGCAAGCCGTCCCCCGGGGCCCTTGCAGGACGGAGACCTGCTCCCAGCTCCCCTCCCCATGGAGGGAACGCCGGGGAGGCAGGTGGCACTCACGGCCTGTGCCTGGGGCCCCCACAATGCGGCCTGTCAGCCTGGAGAGCTGCCGCTGGCTTTCTCTGATGGGCAGATTGGGTCCTGTCTGGGTTTGTGCTGCCGTGGCCAAGTTGTTCAACCTCCATAGGACACTAAGGCCCCCTAGAAAGAACAGTATGATGGAGGGAGCACAGGGAAACACGGGTGTCCAGGGGCAGGCAGATAAGGGCTCCGTCCCTTGGTCAGGGGCTAAGGTGTGACACAGCCCAGCCCAACCCTGAAGGAGGGGTCAGGTCGTTTGGACCCCACCGGGGTTCCCTCGGGAGGCTTTCGCCCACTGAGTGCTTGTCCCTAGACTCAGGGAAGAGGTTCTGGGGGCCTTGGGTGTCCTTTCCTACTCTGTCTCTGCGAGTTTCAGGGACGGGGCCCTCCTGTCCCAGCTGGTGGCCACCAAGTTGGGAGGTAGGTATCTTGTCCAGGCTCTGCCCTGGCTAGGGGCATCCTGGGCCCACTTTCTTTCTGGGTAACAAGGGTTGTTTAAGCTTCCTCCGAAACCACAGGAGGGGTCCCTGACTGGGGGCTGGGGGCTCCCTCACCCACCTGTTGCCTTGATGGCGAGCACGGAGGTGGGAGAGCTCTGTCTGCCTCAGCACTGGGCAGTGACCTGGGGCAGGGCACCCATGGGGCCCAGTGAGCCGGGGTGGGCCTGACACTCGCGTGTGTACTTCTTCCTTGCCTCAGAGTGTGTGGGGGGCCCTCAAGTCGCCCCCATTGTGGGTGGCACTGTGTCTGGCGTTGTTGCCATCGGCATCCTTCTGCTGGCCATCTGGAAGATTCTGACCCACGTGAGTGACCTCCGCGAGTACAAGCGGTTCGAGAAGGAGAAGCTCAAGTCCCAGTGGAACAACGTGAGTGGCTGTCCCTGGGGTTGAGGCCATCCCACATGCCCCCCCCATGCTCCCCAGTCCACATGCCCCCGTAGTTCATCTGTGGAGCTGGGACCCCGGGATGTTCATCCCTGCTCCTGGCTTTCTTCCCCTCCACTGATGAGTCGCCCTTCCCTCCAGGACAACCCGCTTTTCAAGAGTGCCACTACGACAGTCATGAACCCGAAGTTTGCCGAGAGCTAGGGCACTCAGTGAACCAGGCGGAAACAGCCCAGCTCGCGTCTCCTCCAGGGACGGGGTCACAGTCCTCGACAAGTTCACCCATTAACCTGAAATCCCACTGTCGTTTTCTGCTTTTGAGATACTAGGTATGGTCGGTGACAATACGGACGTGTCCGAAGGGACAGCCTCCCCCTTCTGATGTGTCTGACCTTGTAGTAGAGACTTGAAGAAGGAATCGCTTGGGTCTTATGAGGTTCGGTGCGTTTTCCTATAAGACTTAGAGCGGCAATCTCATTGTGGTACAGATTTATTTATGTTTGAACTTATTGTGGTATAAAATCACATTCCGTTGGTGACGATGTTTCCCAATCGTGTGTATGGAAAAAATAAAGAAAACTTCAGTTGACGCTCTGCGTGGAAGCTGGGCTCTGTGTACCCTGCGAGGGTCCGTGTGGCCCGCGGGCCATGGCGCGCGTCTCTCCTTCCTCGACTGTCGGCCGGGTGTCCGTGGCCCTCTCCGCCCCACCCCTGCCCCACATCCTAAGCAGCTTTCAGAAGACTCGGGGCGGCTTCACAGAAGGCGGCCGTCCGCGGAGCCGGGAAATCGGCATCTGAGTTTTAAAGTAAGTTTATTTCTCGTGGGCTATGTCACATGAATCCAGCACCACGCAGCCACGGGACATGGCCCCACCTTGTGGCATGGTGGTACGTGTTGGTGTCCGTTGGTGACAACCAGGACACAGGAGCACCCACAATCGGCACGGTCAGCGGGCTTGGTGTGGGCCAGGGTCGGGGCAGGGGGGAGCCAGGTCAGGGTCGGGGGGAGCCCGTCGGGGGTGGGGAGGTCCCACAGTCCCCAGGGGAAGGGCCACGTTCCGGTCCCATGTAGCCACAGCGGGATGCAGGCTCTCTCTCAGCTCGCACATACGTGGATGCGAGAGCCGACTCGGTGCAGGGGGGCAGGGGGAGGGGGCCTGTGGGTCTGTGATCACACACGTAAACACACCCTCAGAGGGCATAGCCCGACGTTATTTCCTTTATGTGCATACATGTTAAAATCCCATCCTAACTCTTGACTTGAAAACAGCCCCGCAGTGGGGCACCTGGGTGGCTCCGTCAGTTGGGTGTCCAACTCCTGGTTTCAGATCGGGGGTGATCTCAGGGTCCTGGGCTGGAGCGCATGTCGGACTCCACGCTCTGCCAGGGGCTCCGCTTGTGTGCCTTGCACACACAGGCTCTCTCTCTCTTAAATATTTGAAACAAACAAAACACCCGAGCCGTCATTCAGATGGCCCCGAGGGGCTCCGCCGCATGCCCCTCGCAGTAGAGAAAGGCTGAGCCAACATCCTATTCCTTGCTGTTGGGGGGCCCCCGAAGCACCCACAGAGCCGGGGTCAACAGGACGGTCAGCCACACAGACGGCCGTGTTTCTACCGCACCATCAAGCAATGAACTCAGTTCTCTGAGGACCCCGGGCACGTGTCCCACCAATCCGCCCCAATTCCGGTAATGTCTGTCTGGAGGTAGCATCAGATCCCACAGGCCAGGGGCTCAGGCCCACCGAGCTGCTTCCCCTCCTTCCGGGGCCAGGTGCAAATCCCAGCTGGCTGTGCTTCTGAGGACGGGCCACGAGTGGATTCCGGGACTTTGCGAAGCGGCTCACTCACTGGCTTATGGGTTTATTACAAAGGATGTGAATGAACGGCCCCATGAAGACAGGTGTAGGCCGAGGTGGGGTGGGGGTACCGAGCTTCCATACCCGGGGGGCCGCTCGCCCCATGATGTGGTTTGGACAGTCAGGGTCCAGAGCTGACGGCCAGGAAAGAATTCTTGCGACCCCTTTGGTGCAAGAGGGGGTCTTATGAAAATGTGGGCCCAGGACCACGACGCTTCCGAGGGATCTGCTGAGCAACTTCCGCACTTTGGAGCTGGGGAAGTAAAAAGGGAAGTTTCCCAGAGGACTTTCCTGTGCTCAAGACTCTTGGGATCCTGAAGGCCAAACCCTTGTCAGGTTCTTCCCTCTAGTGAGGGACGCAGACGGCAGGGAGCTTCCCAGAAGGTGACCCCCTGCCCTCGTCAAGCACAGGTCAGCGGTTACAAGGACATTCAACTTTACCTGCATTCTCTTCTGCCTCTGACCCCACGTCAATGCTACCCTGGCGCCCCCATCCTGCGCAAACCGGCAGCTGGGCCTATGCGTGGGGTACCTGGCGTTGGGTTCCAGACTTTGATCGTAAATTCTCTGTAAGGGGCTCTGCTCTGGCAGGTGGGGCAGCCAGAAGGGACGACGCCCTATTACGGCCCAGGCCGGCGGCCCATTCCATCTCCGTCTTAGCCCAGCGGGCCCCTGGGAAGCTGGAAACGACAGTGTCCCACTGAGGCGGACCTCACTGCCAAGGGGCGGGCGCTGTCACTGTCTACACATGTTGCCCGCTCAGGTCAGCGTGCCGCTGGGTTGAGACTCACGGACCCAGCGCCGCGCGGCCACAGGCCCAAACTCCACGGCGACTCTGTCGGAGATGCAGTACTGGCCTGGCTGTAGACCCAGCCTGCTGAGCCGGGAGCCCCATGCAGGGCTTGATCCCAGGACCCCGAGATCATGACCTGAGCCGAAGGCAGAGGCTTTAACTCACTAAGCTGCCCAAGCGCCCCTGGAGGCACACGTCTAAACCCAGGCAGGGATGTATTCGTTTCCAAGCGCAGGAACTGGCCAGGCCACCATGCTAGCCCCGAGGCACCCTCCTTCTGGTCCTCAGACCTGGCACTTACCTAGTCCAGCCCTGGGGGTGGTTTCCCACACCGCAGGACGGGGCAAAGGTGAGGTCAAGCTGCCTCCAGTGTCGCCCGGACCAGGAGGCACATTCACAATGACTGACAGTCCTGGCACACGGGTCCTGGCACACTGGCAAGCTCAGTTCTAGGGGCGGTGGGACCCTCCCAGGGAGGGGAGGGAACGAAGTTTTAGAGGCCACGGGCCGACCCACTACCCGACGGGGCAGTCTTTACCCCCGGATCAGACTGCAGCGCACACGGCAGTCCCGCCTCCCTCGGCGCCGAGGCAGGGGTGGGACGGCAGAGCCACTGGCCCGCGAACGGCATGGGGGACCCCCACACGCCGAGCTGGCAGGCGGCCCCCCGCGAGAGGCGCCCCAGCCGCGCCCCGCCCCCCCGGGGCTGCCCAGACCAGCGGCAGCGGGAGGTGCGCGGCCCGCCCCCGCGGACGACTGCACGCCCGGGCCCCCGCGGTCACGCAGACGGTCCGGACGCAGCGGCAGCCGGCGGGGAGGCGGACCCGGACCCGGGGCGTCTCCGCGCGGCTTCCCCGACACGGGCGCCCGCCGCCCTGCGAGCTCCCCTGTCCGGCTGCGGGCGCGGACACCACCACCAGGTCCCCGGGCCACCCTGCAACCGCCCCACGGCCTCAGGGTCCAGGTCACCGAACCCCCGTGGCCGGCGACACCTTCCGCGTCCCGCCGCGCACCCCGCAGCCGCGCAGGCGCACCGAGCCGCAGCAAGCCCCGCCCCCTCCGGGCCCCGCCCCCGCAGAGCGGCCTTCAGCCGCGCACGCGCACTGAGCCGCGCTCTCCGCGCCTCGGGAGGCGGGGGAACACGGCTGCGGAGGGAGGGCCGGTCGGCTGGGGCGGGGCGAGCCGGGCCCCGCGGCTGCGCACTCGGCCGTGCCGCTCGCCCCGCCCACTTCCGGCGTGAGGCTCTTCCGGGGGGTGGGGGTAGACTGCCTAGCTCCGCCGCGGAGGTGGACAGTGTCCGCCCGACGACGGACCCACCCGGCCGAGGGCTTGCGGCCAGCATGGCGTCCGGCGGCGCTCCCGGGCTGATGCGGCGCTGGCAGCTGCTCCTCAGTGGCGCCGCGCTGTTCCTGCTGCTGCTTTCGGCGGTTGCGGCGCAGGAGTCGTCCGGAGCGGGTGAGGGGACGCGGGGTCCGGGGAGGGGCGGGGCGGTGCCGAGGGACGCGGGGTCCGGGGCGGGGAGGGGGGGGGGGCCGCGGGGTCCGGGGCGGGGGGAGGAGGTGGGGGGACGGCGGGGTCCGAGTCGGGGTCGGGGCAGGGAGGTGCCGAGGGACGCGGGGTCCGGGGCGGGTGAGGGGGCGCGCGGTCCGGGTCCGGGCGGGGAGGTGGAGTGGGCCGTGGGGTCCGGGGCGGGGAGGGGCGGGGAGGTGGGGAGGGACGCCGGGTCCTGGGCTGGTGGAGGGGCTATCCTTTGTGTTGGTTCAGCGTGGGGCGCTGTGGTGGGCCGGGCCTGCAGGGTGGTCCTGGCCCAGTACCCGCGTGGCCTCCCCGCCGTCCTCTCTGAAGGAGGCGGCGGCTTTAGATTCCAAGTCTGAAGGAGAGCTTGGAAGCTGCTGGCCCCGCAGCCGGCAGGTCGGGGTGTCCAGGTGCCAGGCCCGTGGAGGACTGGGGGGAGGGCAGGCGGAGGTGTGGCGCAGGGGGCACCACTCCCTCCGGGAAGAAGTCACTGCGCGCCTCGGTGGAGGCAGAAAAGCAGGGTGCCACGGGACCTGCCGTGTGTGCACGCGGTGGACCTGGGGCGGGTGTGCGTCCTTACTGTGCTGCCAGGTGCTGGGACCGTGGTGGTCCACAGACAGTTCCTGGGGGGACTGGCCGAGAAACAATGCTCTCGAAGGGAGTGTACGACCCAGGGCCAGACTGACGTTTCAGAAGGTTCCAGAAGTGCAGTATTGCGGGAGGATGGCCTCCTGTGGGGCCGTGGAGGGGGCCGGAAGGCCCTCACACTCAGCCTCTGGGCTTGGGGAAAAGTCCAGGAAGCTGGGGAGTGTCAGGGCTGGGCCTGTTTCAGGACTGTGCCGGCTGCTGGGATGGGGAGGTACCGGGGAGGGGGAGGTACTGGGGAGGGGGAGGTACCGTGTGATCACCGGCGTGGCATCCAGCGGACCTCGGCTCCAGGGCTTAGAGGTCGCACTGCCTTCCGGCCCGTGTTTTTCTCAGCTCCCGGCTAGCCCAGGCTTTGTTGGGTTCTGCGTGGCACGGCAGAGCACCCTTCTTGTGTGACCCTGTTGAGTGTTTATTTCCCTGTGGGACCGGTCTCAACTCTGCTTCTGTGTGTGTGCGCGCGCGCGCGCGCGACCTTTCCCAGGCGGCTGTCTGGACGGTGGTGAGTAACGCAGTGGGACTGCTGGGAGCAGTTTGGGTCGGAGGCAGTTGAAAGCGCGGGTGTGGAATGGAGACTTTGTACTGTTAAAGATTGACAGACTGCTAGTGTTTTCTTTCTCAGGGCCTGGGGGGGGGGGTGCCCGATGGCAGTGGGCGTGTCAAGAACCCAGTGATTGCTGGACCGCTCTGCGTTTTGGGCTGCCCTGGAGTTGGCCCTCTCTGCGGTGAAGGGGGGGGGTGTCCTTTGGTGACTTTAGTTTGTTTCCTCATTGGGGAATTAGACCAGGGCTGTTGCTGTGGTGGTCCGGCTTCGGCATCCCACCCACCGGAACGGGGCGGAAACTGCCTGCCCTTTGCTGTGGCTCCCAGTGGTTCCCTCTCTCTGGTGGCGGTGCCCCAGTTCTGGGCGGGCGGTGGTGGGCTGTTGTTTCTCTCATCAGCAGCACCTTCAGAGGGGAGGAGTGATGCGCTGTCAGGGGATTGCCCCCGGTATCCTGGGGTCTGCATTTGCCGTTCCTCAGGGTACTGTGGGAGCAGTGAGGGCCCCCTTCCAGAGGACGTGTTCAGTGCGGGGTTTTCTGCTCGTCTTACGTAGGAATGTGACTGCACTGGCCACGACCTTGGTGTTCTTGCAAGGGTGTTAGGGTTCTCCAGAGAAGCAGAACCGGCAGGGTGTGTGTAGCTGTGGGGAAAGGCAGTATTGTGAAGGGTCGGCTTGCGTGATTGTGGAGGCCAGGAAGTCCCAGGACCTACATCCGCAGGTTTGAGCCCCAGGACAGCTGCCGGAATTCAGTCTGTGCTGGGAGCGCCCAGGGCCAGGAGCACCCGTGTGTGAGGGCAGGAGAAAACAGGTGTTCCAGCTTCAGCAGAAGGGGTTAATCCTGGCTCCTCTGGATTTTTGTTCGCTGGGGCCCGTCTGTGGATTGGGCCATGGCCACCTCCCCTGGCAAGGGCAGTCTTTACTTGGTCTACTGGTTTGAACACTGATCTCCGGAAACACGCGGAAATGTTTGACCAGCTCCCTGCGCCTCCGGTAGCCCAGTCAGGCTGACGCGTAAGTTAGCCGTTGCAGCGGTCCCAGACTGATGGTTTCCGATGCCTCATTACTGTGCCTTTGGTGGCCTAGAGACACAAGGACCCAGGGCGCGCTGAAGGTCTGCGGAGGGAATCACAGAGGCCTCCATGGGCCCGTGGAGCCCACGCTGTGTGTGAGTAAGACTCCGTGCCAGGGTCTCATCTGTATATCAGGGGCGATGACCCGGAGAGCCAGCTGCCTGAAGGACACAGAAGAGCTCTGTGGTGGCCTGTCCCACCCTGACTGCCCCTTACCAAGGGCACTGGACTTGGAGGGGGGCTTGCTGTTCCTCTCCAGACCATCTCCTGCTGAGAACCAGGGCTTTCCAGACCTGTGTAAGGGCACTACAGCATGTCTCCACGTGCTGCCTGTTACTCGTATATGCACACGCCCCCGACTTACACGGGTCCGCCGGAGGACTTTGTGACTTTGCGGTGGTGCGAAAGCGAGAGGCATTCAGGACAACCGGTGCTTGGAACTGGGGATGTGGGTCTTTGCCCAGGTCAGCAGTGTACCGTCCTGTCTGTAGCCGGGGCAGCCCTGCTGTCACACTGCTGTGCTGTGGGTCACTCGGGGCGGTGTCCGGTCAGCCACGGGAGTAGTCCACGCTCCCTCATCAGACAGGCTGTGTGCGAGGTGGTTCTGGCCAGCTGTCGGCCACCGGAAGCATTCTCAGCACGGTTAAGATTGGCCAGGTGTAGGAACTGGGTTCGTCATGGGATCTTTTCCACGTACAGTGGGGTTCTTGGGGTGTAACCCATCCTAAGCCAAGGGCTGTCTGGCACTCGTGACTCTTTTGTTTCTACTGAGATACGGAGATGAGCAGCACCGTTTGTGCCAATGAACTTTGCACCCTTGTTCCTCATGTAACACCGGTGAGGTCGGTGCTCTGTCCCTGGATGGAGTGAGCACGGTGGCCTCCCAGGGGCCCGCCGGTGCCGCCCTCTGGCCTGTGGTGTCACACAGGCACAGTGAGTGTGTGCTTACTTCTTTCTTCACCTCTTCAAAACAGATCTCTCTATGCACGCCAGCGCGTGTCCTCTGTCCTGAACCGGCTCCCCGGAATCTCGAGGCCACAGTGTGACCAAGGGCCACAGGCTGACATATCCAAACACAGGGACCTTCTTTTTCTTCATTTGGTCTTTTCATTTAGTTTTCGAAGGGACCAGCATGTCGGGTTTTCTAACCATTGGTCAGTGGACCCTCAGCCGAAGATCCCAGGACTTCCAGAGCCGGGATGTTGACTCCTAGCGTCAGACGTAGAGACGGGAGGGCGGCATGGACTTCTCTGGCGGTCAGCGCGTGGTTTTCTGCGCCCCGGTCCTTGAAGCAGGAGCTAGGAGTTAATGTATGCCGCCCAGATGCTAAAGTGATCTGGAGAGAGAGAATGGAGCAACCTTTCCCCAGGGCTGCTGGTTCTCAGGGGTGCCGTCTGCGGTTTCTGCGGGCTCGGATAGCCTCCAGGTGCTGGGTTGGGGCAGGAGGGCGCTGGTGTCTCTGGACTCTGGCTCTCTGGTCCAGAGGCCCGGGGTGCATGAGGCCGATGGCCTGTGTCTTGGAGCATAGTCCACACGAGTCCAGCTGTCAGAAAGACTTCAGAAAGGAAAAAAAATCCCATGAAAAAGTTCCTGTGCCCCCCCAACGTGGCCGCTCTGTTAAGATTGACGAGAAGTACGCCCTTTCTTGTAGAGTTTTCCAGGAGGACTTGCGAGGGGGCGTCTCAGCAGCTGTGCAGGCTTTCACAGCTGCTCCCTGCCTGCCCCTGCCCGCCTGTTTAGAAAAACGTCAGAGCTGCAGAAAAGTGGGCGGAAGGAGCCGTATGCGGACCTGCCACGCTCTCTGTGCTCAGCGTTCCCGTCTGCGCTGCCCCTCCCGCTGCCGGGCAGCTCGTTACTGTCGTAGCCGGACCGTCAGAACTTGGCTCTCTGCCGCCCTTCGCCCCGACGTCCCGCAGGGTGCGCCTCCTGAGGATGAGGGCGTTCGGGTCCGCGGGGGAGCGCCCCGAGCCCAGTCTGGCCGGTCAGCGTTGGTGTGCTCCTCGAACGCTGCAACGTGGCCTGCGCTTTCTATCCGCGTTCGCCGGGGGTCCCGTAACGTCCAGGACCCCGCGGGGCACTCGGCTCCATTCCCCCGGATGCCGCCGCGGTCGGTCTTGTCTGCTGTTCTCTGGCGTGGATTCCAGGTGTTGGGACCGGATTCAGCTGTGCGCGGCCGTTCTTCCCCTGCACCCCTAGGGGCCCCTGCCGGCATCCGTCCGGATGTCCTGTCCTCATCTCCTTCTAAGGAGACACTTTGAGACCAGAAGTGTCTGGTCACCTCACAGACGGGCACGGTGGTCTTGGCATCCAGGTTTACTGAGGCTGCAGAATGG